TGGCCCTCACAGGTTTATGCCCAGGCAGCTTTTGACCTTGAAGTTGCTCAGCCTGGCCCAGCCAGACAATGTTTGCTGGCTCCTGCTGAGAAGCAAGAAGGACTTTTTGTGCCTGGAATGGCCAAATTCAACTTCCTCTCCTCACACTGTCCTTCCCACTGGCAACTCAGCCCTGTGGCCCGCTGGGCGGCGGCGGGCCTGCCCCATATGGCCTAGTTTTTGGAAAGGGAGGAAACGGCCCTGGCTCCTGACAGGGATGCCAGTAGGGTTTCTCCAGTCATGCAGAGGACAAACGGACTTCATGGAAGGGCAGAGGTCTCTGCCGGTGGTCTTCTAGCAGCGGGGCCAGGCCCTCTCTCACGGTTGTCTGAGAGACTCAAGCCCCTGGTCTGTAACATCGGGGCAGTTGACGTGAGGCCCGCATGGCAGATGGTGGGAGGGTCTGGTGGGGTGCCTGGCATGAAGGAGGCTCTCAGTAAGTGGTCAACACACCAATTACAAAAATACAGCAAGAATAAACACTCATCTGAGACTTAGAAAAGAAAACAAGTAGCCGCCCCCTCGCCCCCAAATAAAATCTAATGAGTTCATTACCAGTGGGTGGTCCATTCTGACTTTCAGTGACACTGCAGGACAGGCTAGAAGGGCCCGTGGGTTTCCGGGACTGGCACTCTTCACGGGAGTAGCTAGCCTCCTCTCTCTCCCTGTGGGCTCACAACTTTCTGCACGTTCATACCCCATAGAAAGCCAGAAGAGGGAAAAGCCCTGGGGGCCAAGCGGGTCATGAGTTGGGCAACTCACTCTAAGGTCAGCAGTTTGAAACCACCAGCCTGTTCTAGAGAGTAAAATGAGTCCTTCTATTCCCATTTTTGGAAACCCCAGGAGAAACCCCTGCCCTATAGAGACACTAAGAGTATGAGGAAGAAAGTCTCTTATCTACCTGATAAAATAGAAAAGGAGGGGGCAGTGATTAAGTGCTCAGCCGAAAGATTGGGGCCAGGACCCCCACCAGCTGCCTTGCAGGAGAAAGAGTGGCAGTCCGTACCCGTAAAGATGTTTACAGCCTGGAAAACCCAACGGGGTTTTCTGTCTTCTACAGGGCTGCTATGAGCTGGATTTATGTAACAAAGATCCATGAGGAGGAAGGAGAGTGATTGAAAGACCCGTAAGAGGCAGACGGAAAGAGGACACTGAGGGACAGACAGTAGAGCCATCTTGCAGAGCACTTCCGAGAACAAGGCTGGTGTGGAAGCATCCGTACCCAGCAGCGCTGCGGGCCTGCCTCAAGGAAGCTTCCAGAACCAGCCACTCCGGGACAAGTAGCATGTGGTGCTGCGTGTGCAGCGTGTCTGCAGGGTGCAGAGCTCAAAAGAACCAGACAACCTTGTACCGAGGCCCAGGGCTGGGGAGTGGCTCGCTCAAGTCACGTGGTAAAAAACAGCCCCAAAACAAGGGCAGCACCACCCCTGCTCTTTGAACTCGTAGCAGCTATCTGCCTGGGGCTCAGCCCTTGATGTGGTTTAATCTTCAAAACGGCCCTCGATCTGACGGGGCCCATTTTACAGATGAGGCAACCAAGGCTCCAACAAAGGAAGGCTCGCACCAAGGCAGCCGGCTGGCCAGGAGGAGAGCCGGGTACCCAAACCCCTGCCGGGAACATTCCTGTGTTTTACTGACTTTCTTCTGTTCACGATTAGGGATGGTCGCCCCGCCCGATGAATGTGATTACTGTCCCCTGAATTGTACGTGTAAAACAAGGCTGAGTTGGTGACTGTCTTGTCGGCAGTATGTTTTACCCTCATCTACACGAATAAACAAATAAAAACTCACGGGCTAAAACGCTGGTGGCGTAGGGTCACCTGTGGGACTGTCTTTCGAAACCACCGGCCGCTCTGAGGGAGTAAAACGAGGCTTTCTACCCCCGTCAAGAGCGACAGTCTCAGAAACCCACAAGGGCAGTCCTTCCCTGTCCTATTGGCATTTTTGAAATCTTTACAGGCATAAAAGGCCTCATCTTCTCCCCCCGAGGAATGACTGGCAGGTTCAAACGGCTGACCTTATGGTACGCGGCCCCTGGCGTAGCTCAATACGCCACCAGAGTGTGGGCAATGGACATCTGGACGCTCCTGCACACAGGTCAGTTGTAAGTCAATCATGGTCTTGTTGATGATGATCTTTTCCCATGGGCCGAGCCAGTCGCTTCTGTTCTGTGTCATTATTCCAACAGGCACCCTGGATGTCTGCATCTATGGAGGTGCCAGCAGCTGGTGTCCACGTCCATGTCCGTGTGTGTGTGTGATTAAAGCATCTCTCTGAGCAGGGAGGAGCAAGGAGGGAGTCCAATCTTCCAGCTGCCTGGCACTTCCCAATGCACGTAGATGCAGCACATCCCAGGAGTCCTCTTCCTCACACCTCCCACATGCTGGAGGACCGAGGGACAGTTACTGTCCTGCTTCGACAGCTGCAGGATCGGGGAGGAAAAGCCACTCCCCCAAGGACACCAATCCAGCGTGGGACAACAGCCTTCCTTCCGGCTGGTTCCAGTCCTCCCGAGGCTTTCTGCACTGTGCCAGTAACATAGTTTCCTGTCGTCATTCCAAGATGCACTCACTCCCTGCCATGGAGTCGATGCCGACCCACAGCGACCCTATAGGACAGGGTAGACCTGCCCCTGCGGGTTTCCAAGACTGTCACCCTTGACGGGAATAGAAAGCCTCATCTGTCTCCCACAGAGCAGCTGGTGGTTTCAAACTGCTGACCTCGTAGTTAGTAGCTCCATGTACAAGGGCTGTAAAACGCCATCAAGGATACAAAGAGTTAAGTGTTTGCCTGCTAGCTGGGGGGTTGTTGGTTCACACGCACCCGGAGGTGCCTTGGAAGATGGTCCGGGTGCACAGCTTTGCAGCCCCTGTGGAGCCATTCTCTGCACATACAGGGGTGCCATTGGTCAGGACAGTCTCAGTAGCAAGCCACTGCCGCCACCACCACATTCGTTGAGGAATTCCTTTGTGCTGAGCCCACCGCCCTCTGCTTCTTGTCATTCTCTCACTAACCTGTGTTCCCGGTGAGGAAACGGAGACCAGCACAGGCAAAGAGGAGCCCCAGCCCCGGCGTTCTCTCTCTGCCGGACGTCTGCCTCAGGACTGGCCCTGTCCTGTCCTCCGTCACCTGCCCTTGCTTCTGATGTGGCGACTTCGCTAGGGACCCAGGGAGGACATTGAGTCCTGCTGTCCCCATGCCCAGCTCCAAGGTGAACCTGTCACTCACCTGGGGTGCTACTCTGCAGGAAGAAGGGGGGCAGCCAGCTGCTGTCGGCGCAGGGTCCCAGGTTCTGAGAGGGGCCTCCTGATTCTGGGGCGTCCTGTCCTCAGCCGTCTGCCTGCCGGAACTGGCACGCAGGGTCAAAGTCTGGAGCTGTGGACAGGGCACAGTTCGGAGGGGCGGGTCTGGGCGCTGTGCTGCCCACAGGGACTGGAGCCCGGCCCAGGCCTGGAGATCTACCCTCTGTCCTCTCCCCTCATTTTCATTCCCAGCCCCTGAGAAGTTGCCTGACTTTCTGGCTGATGCCATGCCCTGCTGGAGGCAGGGTTCTTGGAGGGCCGATGGGCCCGCGAGGTCTGTGTTCTATGCCAGCTGGAGCTGCTCCTTATTCTTCTCTGGTGCTGCTGCTGCTGCCACTGGAGGGGAGGGGAGCGCTGTCCCCTGAGCCACCGCAGGGCCTGGCAGCCCCTGAACAGAGGCCACAGGCTCAAGATCAGGGATCCTTGGGCCAGCCTGAAGCCATCCTGGGTTCCTGGCAGAACAAAGGCCAGGAGGGAATTGAGGCAATGTCTCTCGGAGCTCAAAGATGCCCGGCTCTTCGCTCCTGGATCCCAGAGATGTGAGCGGCAGGATGCCAGTCCTTCCACGGCCAGGGCTGGATCCGAAACCACAGCGGTTACAGAGGGCGAGGTCCACCAACCTGGGGTCAGCTACGGAAGTTGGGTGTCCACCCAGCTCATCACATTTCAGCAGCATCGAATTTAAACATAAACACCCTCACTGTCAATGAGTCCACTTAGCCTCCTCTAGGTAAGACGGAGCAGAACTGCCCCCTTGGGGTTTCTGACGCTGTCCGTCTTGATGGCTGTCAACACAGGGCCTCTTCTTTCTCCCGAGAGCGGCCCACCGTGTAACCCACGCCACCCTCTGGACTCCCATCGAGAAGATGGGATAAGAAAATACCCATACGAGGCTTCTTCAGAAGCACCTTGACAATGTAATCCGGAGCAGCCTGCCACCAGAGGCCACGCCATTCTGTTCATAGGAAAGGGCCAGAGCACAGCACATCCATGATCCGGGATGGCCTACAGCCACCAGCCGCCGGAGAGTCACCGCCCCACACGCCTCCTGAGGCTGCTCGTCCGCGCAGAACCAGACTCCCACCTCTTCCTAGGGCAGTGGTTCTCAACCGTCCTCTGCCACGACCCTTTCATACAGTTCCTCATGGGGTGGTGACCCCCCACAACCATTAAATTATTTTCGTTGCTAGTTCATCACTGTTATTTTGCTACTGTGATGAATCGGGCGACCCCTGTGAAAGGGTCATCCGATCCCCAAAGGGGCCGCGACCCGCAGGTTGAGAACCGCTGTTCTAGACGGTGGGTTCAAATGGGAAAGCTTTTGGTTGAGGTCCCCGGGGCTTGTTTATAGATGGGGCAAGTTCAGGAAGACAGAACGTAGATGGCTGGTTCTGAGCGGAGGGAGATGGACTGGGCTCTAACTGCTGGGAGAGTTGCTGTGGGGAGTGATGAAAATGTTTCAAACTTAGATCAAGATGGTGAGTGTCTAACAAAATTCAGACTCACAGCCATGGAGTCGGTTCCAACTCTGTAGCCACCCCACAGGACAGGATGGATGTGCCCCTGTGGGTTTCTGAGAATTTAAATGTCTACGGGAGCAGACAGCCTCGTTTTCCACCAAGTGCCTGGTGTCTTTGAACCGATGACCTTGTGCTTAGCAGCAGCTCCGTACATAACCCACTATGCCACCAGGGAATGGTATCAGAGCTTAAATTATGAACACCTGGTTTGCAGAAGATTGTGGATGACTGTGGAAACCTAAAATCCATTTGCAGGGCCCCCACGTGGATTAAAACTCCCGTGAGTCGCTCTGATCATGGTCCAGAGACACGACTAGCCTTGCAATCAAACAAAGAGCATGGTAAAGTTAGGTTAAAGTGCACCTAACCTGAACATTTGCTCTCCTTTTTGATCCGTTTTAAAGTTAAGTTTCTTTCATCTTTGCTCCTGTCTTTTCCTCTTGAGGTTTTCCTCTGTTTTGTCTACTTGTGGTTGTTTGGGAATTTGTTTGTTGGTATTTAGTACAATCTCTGCATATAAAATCCAGGGCAGGTCAGTATAGAGCAGCGGTTCTCAACCTGTGAGTCGCAACCCCTTTGGGGGTCGAACGACCCTTTCACCTCATTCGTAACAGTAGCAAAATGACAGTGATGAAGTAGCAATGAAAATAGTTTTATGGTTGGGGGGTCACCACCACATGAGGAACTGTATTAAAGGGTCGTGGCATGAGGAAGGTGGAGAACCACTGCTCTAGATAGACAGTAACCGTTTCTTCAGAGTTTAAGATTAATGGCTTCGTAGGGCAATGGCAGGAGAGGTTTGGGGGAAATGAGGCATTCATAACAATAAGCACTCGAAGGAAACATTCTGCAATTGATCGGGGCGATGAGTGCAAAGCTCTTCTTAATATGAACGGGCAATTAAATTGTATAATATGTGAAGTAAATGCTGATAAAACCAAATAAAAAAATTTTAAGATAGAAAAAAACCTGTATGCACTATGTCGGATACAGTTGATGTATGGAATTGTAACAAGAGTTGTAAGAGCCCCTAACAAAATGATCTAAAAAAAAAAAGAAACTGTTATTAATTAAAAAAATAAAAGAAAGAAACTGCTGAGGAACACCGATCTGGACAAATCTGCCCATTTTATTGGTGGACAAACTGAAGAGCAAAGAGGAAGGGATGCGCCCCAAGTTCAAGAGCCAGGTGGTACCTCACCCAACCTGGTGGTCACCTGGCCCTTTTTCTGGCTCTGAGGTCCAGGGCTAACTCACCACACCAAAGGAGGTGGGTCTGTTTATGTAGCTGGAATCATAGGCATCCCGGACCCTTCTGACCCACTGTCTGGTTGATCAGCAACGTGGCCACCCAGTCGCCCTGAATTACTCCCAGGAAGGGACAAAGGGTGGTTTGCATGGAGATATCTGTGCGGGTCTGAAACGGGGGGGGGGCGGGGGGGGGAACTAGTTTAAAGAGTAACAGATTAACGAGGGCCCTCGTGAATTGGAGAGGAGCCCTAGTGGTTAGGGACTGGGCTGCTCCCTGGGAGGTCAGCAGTTTGAACCCCCAACCTCAACTGAGGGAGAAGGCTTTCTACTTCTGTAGAGTCACTGTCCCAGAAACCCACAGGGCAGTTCTACCCTGCCCTAGAGTCACCAGGAGTTCAGTTTGCTGCGACGAGCAGAAACTTAGTGGCATAAAAACAACTCAAGTGTATCCCCTGACAGTTCTGCAGGCCAGCAGTTGAAAGCCAAGGTGTGGACGGGCTGCAGTCCTGCTGGAGGGTTCCGGGGAAACGATTTCCTTGCCTTTTCCAGCTTCCCCAGGCTGCCTGCATTCACAGCCCCTTC